GTGATCCCAATTCACCTAGACAGCTAATTAAAGAGGGTAGACAAGTTCTCCTACAATCGGAGAATGCAATCCAGCATCAGCAGATATGCTATACTGACTATGCAAAACCATGGGAGGCGTATGCACTTCCCACACAGCATAGTCTGACTTCTGTCTTATGGCAAAGGGGACCATTGTTATGGTTGCATTTACCTGTTTCCCCAGCCAAAGTGTTAAATCCTTATCTTGAAGCAGTAGCTTGTATAGAACAAAAAATGATGTATGGAGTCTAGGAGATATTTTGGTAGGGAACCAAGTGTAATACATGTTCCTTATACCAAACAGCAAGTTGATTGGTTACTTCAAAACAGTGGTTCATGGACAATTGCTTTTGCTCAGTTTTTGGGGGAAATTGATAATCAGTTTCCAGCTCATAGACTGTTGCAATTTGTGCTAACACATCCTTTTGTATTCCCAAAAATTGTAAGGAGGGATCCTGGAAAAAAAAAAGCTATGTTAGTTTTTCTTCTAATGGAAAAGCAACTTATGTTGTTGATGGAGAAGAATATGTAGTACAGACAGATTCAGCTTCAGCTCAGATAGTTGAGTTACGAGCTGTTGCAATAGTTTTTCAGCTTCTAATAAATGATTCATTTAACTTATATATTGATAGTCATTATGTTTTCAGAGCTCTTCAAGTTATAGAGACAGTTCCACACATTGGAACTAGTAATAATCAGGTTAAAATGCTAAAGGTAATGAGTCAGCTGATAGACTGACAAAAATGGTTGCTTTATCTCAGGCAGAATGAGCCCAGAAGTCACACAGCTTTCATCATCAAAATAGTAATCTAAGAAAATAGTTTGGTTTAACTAGAAAATACTGCTCAGCAAATTGTCAATGTGATGCGTGCCTACAATATTTACTTGTAACTAATGTTGGAGTAAATCCTCGAGGCCTGCTTCCTAATTATTTTTGGCAAATGGATAGTACTCAAATTGCAGAATTTGGCAGATTAAAATATGTGCCTGTGGCAGTCGATACATATTCAGGCTTCTTAACGGCCACTGAGCAAACTGGAGAAGCCACTAAGCATGTGATAAGTCACTGTTTAAGATGTTTTGCTAACATGGGAGTTCCAAAGATTATAAAGACATATATTAGATCTTTGTATACCAGTAAAGCATTTCAGCAATTTTGTGCTCACAGAACAGGCATTCTTTATAACCTGCAAGGGCAAGGAATTGTGGAGTGTGCTCATAGCTCTTAAAACACAACTTCTAAAAATAAGGAGAGGGGAATTATGCCTCCAGTCTCCACATGATTTCTTAAATCATGCACTCTTCATTCTAAATTTTTTAAATGTGGACACCCGTGAGCAATCTGGGATGGACAGATTCTGGCATGATGGAACTTGAGTGACATTTGTTCAAGTCAAATGGAAAGATCCATGCACTAGAGTATTGAAAAGGCCTGATCCTGTCCTAATATGGGATCAAGAGCACATTTGTGTTTTCTCCCAGGAAGAAAATGAAGCCAGGTGGCTGCCAGACCGTTTGGTGAGATGCCTGGAACAGAGGAAAACCGGACCTGAGACCACCTCGGGAACCTGTCCAAGCCAGTTCCAGTGAGACTTGCTGAGCCTGTGTTCCTGACTCTACAGCCTAAGAAGGAAAGAAAACAATTGGTTTTCAGAAGGAAAGGAGATTAGAGACTTTCAGTTTGGTTGGAGATTTCCAGTTTCCCAACAATCCTGCTTCACTGATCAGTTAGCTACACCACATCTTGGGATAATTGTAAGCTATTATGGACGTGGTGTGGGGCAAAAGCCCATCTTCAGTATTTGAGCGGACAATAGACAAAAGTCTTGCAGTTAATATTTAATATTCAAGGACTGTGGTATCTCAAACTTATCTCTGGAAATGATAAGCAGCAGTGCATTTAGAGAGGAGAAAAAGAAAAGATTCAGAATTGTGGAGTTATTCATACTTCATTTACCATGAGAACATTTTATTGTCCTTTGATTGAATTGAAATTATGAGAATTGTAATTTGGTCAATTATGTGCCAATTGTTAATAAGCATACTAGAATCATTAATGTTTACAACCTTTGCTATACTAGATATGTTATGAATGAAAAAGTCAGCTCATTCTGTTAAGATTTAGACATGATGCTTATGAATCATTAGATACAATGTAATTGAACAGGCAGATTTAGATCTTGACATAGCAAAAGCCACTCAAGACATCACAGACCAATTTTAAAAGGCCATTTTATCTTTACTCATCCACTCCTTTTGCAGGAGATGCTGTAGCCACAAAAGCAAATGTATTATCGCGCTTGCTTGTGAACTCTCTATGAAAAGTTGGCTCAGGTGTGTGGGCATTGAGCTATGCACTGTCCCCTAATGTTCTTTATTACAGAGGCTGGTAGTCAGAGACAGGTTAAGTCTTTGCCTCCAAGCTACCTAAGCCAGGACATACATGACAGAACGTGTGCTTCCCGTGATGGGTAAGGCTGGAAGGTTGAAGACTGCCTAACACAGACACAACCATCTGTCCTGTAGCAGGAGCACAGGTATTATTTAATTATGTTAAGAAGGGGGAATGTGTGGGTGCCCGTAAAGATGGCTGCACTCCATCTTGGCACAAGGACAGAGTTCAAAGCTGTCAGCAAGTCACAAGACCTAAAGGTCAAAGGTGTGGCTGCAGTAGAATGATTGTCTGTCTCAGTCTAAATAACAACAGACCTGAATCTGAGGTGTGGCTACTCCTGACCTCAAGGCTGGGGAAGAACTTTAGAGTTAAGGTGTGGTTATTGAACCCTTGGAATGAGTGAGGGAGAAAAGCCTGTTTGTTCCATACAGAAGATACTGTGTTCCACTTTTTGGTTATGGTGTATAAGAGTGGTAAAAAATAAACTGGTGGCATTTCAGTATTGACTGTCTCCCTCCTGACCTTTATTCTGTCTGTCTTTCTTTATTGTCTATAGCTAGCCTTTCCCTCATCCACACTCCCCCACACTCAGGTACGGACTTGGGCCTCTAGGCTGGCTCCGATTGCATCCCTGCAAAGACCGCTCCCTACAGCTGGGCTCCTCCCACCTTCCTGCTTAGGTAACTAGGTCTCATATTCCAACAGTTTAGCGGTCTGCAGGTGGAATCCTAAACTTCTAATCCAAACACAATAGCCCCTCCCAGTTTGCACACTGGAGACTTCCCGTCTGCAGTGGAATGGGAATATACAGCCTTTGTGTCTTCTGTCCTTGATTTTGTCGCTGGCTTCAGAGCCTCGACTGGCTTAGAACTCTCTAATTCAGAGATTGGACTGCCTCTGCCTCCCAAATGCACCACCACACCCAGCTCTCTCCCATGGGGGGGGGGTCATCTTCTGACTATAATCTTACTCTTCCTGCGTTGAGGTGTGAGACTGCTGGCATTAGGGTGATGGCTGTGTCAGAGGCCTGAGGTTTCTTGAGGAATCTCACTGGTATGCACCTGACCAAGGATACCAGGCCAGCAAACCATGATGGGTTGGGGTGTGCCTCCTAAGTACCCAGGGCAGGTGGAAGATGTTCCCTGTCTCCTGAAAGGCACCACCCTCCTTGTGGAGTGTAGGGGGGGGGGTGGAATGGGAGAGGGTGGGGGGGGGCATGGGAAGGACGGAGGGAGGGAGGGAGGGATGGAGAGGGAACTGGGATCGATATGTAAAATAAAAAAAAAAAAATGTTCCCTGTTCTCAGTGACTGTAGTCTGGGTCAGTGAGCAGACTCAGAAGCAAGTTCATTTTCCAGCCATGTCTAACTAGTTTTTCTCCATGAGGAGAACTCGCTGCTCCCTTGTTCGGGTGGTCAGTGCCAACACAACTCTGGATATCTTGTCTCCCAGCCACACACTGCTACACCAGCCATGCTGTATTCCACTGACTCTCGGATGCCACTAACGTCAATGGATGAGTCAAGGGGACATCACATATTCAAGGGGAGAAAACCACAGCCCCTTTGCCCACCCCTCACCCCTCACCCTGTGAGCTCCAGAAATGAATGCCCAGCAGGAGCAAGAGGAAGATTGGCATTAACTGGAAGGGTTTGACATACGGCTGCTTTGGGGGCTGACATCTGCTGTACCTATTTGTACCGTGCTAGTGGGTAGGGTGGCTATACCTCCCTCCTCAAACATGTGAAGACACACTGGGAACCCAGAGAGCACCAAGAACAAACAGGATGAGCCGGAACTTTACAATTAACTTTATGTGAATAACTTTTCAGAAGCAACAGCAGGTTAAAATTCAATTTTTTTTTGACAATAGCCAAAAAGAAGGCAGGTGTGTCCAGCCTCCCAGACTGCCAGGACTCTCTAGGTCACGAGAGGGCAGTGTGTAGACCACATGGTATGCCCATGGCTCAAAGTTGCCTCTATCACTTCAGTCTGGGAACTGTCCTGTGGCCAGGAAGGCCGAGCTCAGCAGGTACTCACAGTCTACCATACCTGCTTACCAACCAGACAGGCCTTCAAGAACAAGGAAAGCTGGGTGTGGTGGCAATTGCCTTTAACCCCAGCATTCAGGAGGTAAAGGGGCAGACAGGCGAATTTCTGTGAATTAAATGTCAGTCTGGTCTACATAATAAGTTTCTGGGCAGCCAGGCCTAAACAAAACAAAACAAAAAAAAAAAAAAAAAAAAAAAAACAAGAAAAGGGAAATGGTCTGTCCTGGTCAGTTACCAATCCAAGACCTACTTGGTATGACAGCAGAGTCCACTCAGCCCCATGTGAATGGAGTTGTGGTGCTCTGGCCGTCCTGGTAACTGATCTGACGCTGGACAACTCTGCCGCAGCCCTCACGGGGCACACATCACACAGAGATCCATCCAGTAACAAGATCACATCGGACTCTTCCCAGAGCTGCAACAGGGCAGATCTCCACCGGCCACCATGGAGCAGGGGAGATTTGGCCTGTTTGGGGGTGGGAAAACTGCTCACAATGAGCCCACATCAGCTGGGAGGCCTCAAGGCCCACCAACTCTGCACGTCCAAGGTTCCGGTGACCCACAGTTAGGCCTGAACAGGCAGAGTCTTATAGGGGTTCAGGATGCCTTTGGGGTCCAGCAGGCCCTTGAGCTGTTGCATAAGCCTCACGGCCTCAGGGGGCTTGCTATAGTGGAGTACGTTCTTCTTCTTGAAGCCCAGGCCATGCTCGGCGCTCACACTGCCCCTCTGCTCCGCTGTCCAGGCATACACATAGGGCTCCAAGGCACCAAGCAACTCCTGGCTAAAGGCCTCTGCCGTCACATTCAGGTGAAGGTTGCCATCCCCTGGGGAACAAGGAAACAGTTAGGCTGGGCAGGCCCCGAAAACCGCTCATACTTTTAATACCCTGTGAGATATACTTCTGCCAGCCAGCCCTTGCCCGCTCCTTCCCCCTCCGTGTCTGTGAATGGTAGCTGCTGAGCCCCATCTTGCAGTATTGTGGGCAAGTGAGCCCCTGCTCAGAGTCAGGCGGGAAGCAGCAAGAGGTGCACAGCTGCACAGCTCCCCACCCCACAGGCCAGCACATTTCCCATGAACTGCAGGTGTGGGAGACTGGGAGGGATAAACAAGTCATTCCTGTCAATCAGTACCATGTGACTGGGGGCAGGTGGATCTCCTTGAGTGTGAGGCCAGCCTGGTCTACATAGTGAATTCCAGGCCAGCCGGGGCTGTAGAGTGATACCATGTCTCAAGAACCAAAGAGACAAAAAACAAAGAAAAGAGAAAGAAATAAAGCAATGAATGGCATCTTGTCAATCCAGGACTTGTGCCCTTTGCTGGGACAACTGATAAGCTCAGCTATGGAGGTCACTGTAGTGACACTGTTTTGGGAAAATACTGTTGCTGGACCTCACAGACAAGTTAAT